GCCGCAGCCGCGGTTAAGGCTGACCCTGAGCGTCGCATTAGTGTCGGGTTGGCGTCTGATTTTCCCCCTGCGCCAGGTAAGGAGGGGCCGGCAGGCTTGGAGAGGGATCACACGTGGCAGCTTTTAATAGAAACCCGCCCGCCTGTCACCGGTTTCTCATCGCTCCTCTTGAAGCTTTTGCTAATTACCAACGAGCTGGCGGTTGCGTTTCGGGTGCCGCACTCCCCTCCGCAGCCCCTCCTGCGGGTTGCCGCCCAAATCCCTGCGGGATGAGCATCCCTGTAGGATACCCCATGACCATGGGTTTTGTCCGAGCACTCAGGGACACCTGCGGTGCCGGGCATCAGAGACGGGGAGAAGGACACTGAGATTTGGGCACAAGCTGGTAACAACCCGGCAGGCATCTTGGCTCTCATGTCCCCGCCAGAGCACTGGAGTGGATTTAGTCACTCTGGAGGGTTTTCCAAGGGATTTTCTGCTCTCTGGGGCAGGGATGGTGCCTGGCCCCAATGTTGAAATGCTCTGGACGTGCCCAGAGTGGATACGACCACACATTTCTGGGATCTGGGATGTGCTGGGACAAGGTCTTCTCTGCCCTGCTGTGGTTGGACTCGATGATCTTGAAGGCCTTTTCCAACCATAATGATTCTATGATTCTGTGCTTCTATGCTGGGGGGGTCCCTCCTGGGCAGCTGGGGAGAGCTGATGGGGGAAGAGGGGTTGGGAAAGGAGCAGGGCACTCCTTCCCTCAGGCATCCCATGGATGTACATCCGGGTCCGTCTCTTTGATGCCACCCCATTATTGTTCCTCATTTGCCGCAGCGGCAGCAAGCAGGGGAGGGTCCGGCGGGATTTCCTTGATCCCAGTTCCAGACCTTTCTCATGCAAGACCCATGGCAAGGCCGGAGAGCCCTGCGAGGCCTCCTCTGACTCTGCTACCTGCAGCTTCTCCCTCTGCCTTTCCCTGCGGCAGGATGCTATCCGCTGGATGCTGGAGGGTGGCTCCGAAAGGCTTCATCCTTTTGCAATCTGGTTCCTGCTTTTTGGTGGCACCGAGGACGGCGGCACGGGAGGCCACCAACCTCCTCCCACCACTCAGGGCTGCTAAAGTGCGGCCAGGGCGGACGCCTGGCCCTGTGAGGGAGCAGGGAGAGGAGCCCGGAGGCTCCCCTGGAGCTGGACGGCTCCTGCTCGCCCGCGGGTGAGTGACAGCTCCCCAGCCCCCAGCCCACCTCCCCCCCTGTCAATCCACTGGGGAATTATTTATCCTGACAATAGCAATTGTCTGCACGGGCCCTTCCCCCTGCTCAGCACCTACCCCAACAAAGGAAATCATCCTGATATGAAAGGGAAAATTAAATTACCCCAATAAAGACTTAGCGCTGCTTTAATGACATCACCAGACTCAGGCGC